ACAATATTTATGATTGATAGAACTTTGTCCATCATGATACTAAGGAAAATACTAATATTTGAGGGGGAATGTTTACCACACAAATCTCCAAAATGTATAACCCTCAATTTATCATATTTGTTATAATTAAAATAAACAATATGGTTAGTCCCATAAGCCTATGTTAGAATTTTGATAATCATAGATTATACTAAAGAATGAAAGGCTAATAGTTTCTTAAGTTAAATGATTACAATTAACAAAAATAATGTTAGAATGCATTACATGAAGTTTTAAGATTCAGCATACAAAGAAAGTGTCTTTCAGGCGAAAAATTTACAAAAAAATATTAACAGCTTCGTGAAAAATATACGAGTGAGGCGTATTAATACCGACTAAATGAAAATTAGGTGTCATCTAAATCAAATAATTAAAAAATATTTTTATTTAGTCAAACTATTTTTCTATTATGTTTTAGAATATCTCTATATAAATAAACTAATGAATGTGATTTAAAAAAAAAAAAAGCGCGGGCATCTAAAAAATAATTACAGGCCTCCATAAATTATTGCCATGCTTTGTAAAAATTTAGATATTTTACTCCTTCAAAAATAATTGGGGCATTTCCATACATACCACCCTATTTTAATGTATTTAGATTCATAAAACCTAAATTTTAATTTTTACATTTTGACCACCCAAATCTTTCATATCACCTGACAAATACCATCATTTGAACTTATAAAGTAATTGGGGCATGCCCGTAAAAAATGATGTTTAGGTGTAGATATGTAAATACAAAGGAATTGAGAGGTATGTATGTAAATCTTCCAAACTAGAACATATCTTTTAAGAAAAAGGAGACTAATGAGAGTATACAGATGCATGGGGGGTGGTCTTAAGATAAAGCTAAACGTAAAAGCTTTTTTACCTAATGTTGTATGTGGGTGTTTAGAGAGAATTTTAAATATGGTAAGGGTAATGGATATGCATATTGCCTTATTTGAATGGAGTAGGTATTAATCATTGATGATTGTTCAGTCATTTTTGACTCAGTTATTCTCTTTTTAATTCATTAGAGAACTTTTTTTATTTGTATTATTAAAGTTTCCTCACGACACAGCTCTGAAAATACCTTGAATTAGTTCATATATGCTTTTTAAGAAATTGCTCTCATCTGGCCATATGTTGACCTCCTTGTATAAGTAAGTATCAACAACTCCATTGTTGTATCATGGTCAAGTAGAAAGTAAACTTCTACTTGTTTACCTATTTTAGAGACTAAGTTATGTTGGCAATTACGTTGCATGCATACCCTAAATAAAGAAATGTTCATTTATTGTGAATTAATATTTAATCACATTTGTATCAGGTGTAATTAAATCAGTGTCATAAATTTAACCATAAATTTTATTCATCACTCAATGAAAAAATATTTAGAGATTCACTATCATGTCATTCAGAGCTATATAAATCATGGTGATATGAATGTAGAGCTTATTAGTAGATGACATGCTAATTCATATCTTTATGAAACCCTTTGCCAATGATTGTTACTATTACTTAAGATGAATGCTTTAGAATACTATATCTCATATTATAAGTACTACATTAAATATTAGGATCTTATGCATAACTTAATTTTGATTTAAAATACCATAGAAAACATTTAGCCCTTAATGGGCTACCACTATTTATAAAAAAGTAACCACGGTTTAGGAAATACATACAAAATAAACATATTTTAACTCTACATAAGGGTCTATTGAGATTCCTAATACAAATGAAGTGTCCAAGATGCCACGTCTTCCATGAAGATTGAAGAAAGTTTTGCCAATCTTTTCATTTACTAAGGTCATTCATAGTCATTCAATGCATTATTAAGCCATAATTATCTAGCAATCTACCACATTTATTTTAAAAACTTAAAATAATTCAATGCATTATTAGTCATTGTTTTGAGAGAATTTACTTCTTTAGATAGTCTTGTTTTCCTCATTTTGTTATGCAGTAAGAACACTAGAAAATGACAATATTATCAAATCTATTGAATAAATTCCTAATAAAGAGTATAATTGCTATATAATTACCATGTGCTCTGATTTTGTTTCAAAGTAAATCCTTCCATCTTCCCTCACATTGACTTCTCCATCCCAAGTTTGCTCTTTACATTATATGATTTGCCTTGCTCTCTAATCTTGATTTGCTTTCACCTTTAAAACAACATGAAGTTACATTTTTTATACAAGTTGCTAAGAGAAGAACATGACTTTTGAATGGACCCAAGCTGCAAGAGAATGATGGTGAGATTAGGCACTAGAGGATCTGTGGCTATAGGTAGGTAGTTTGACTCTCAGACTACATGTTTCTTGATAGTTGACTCCAAACTCTTGCTTGTAGCCTTGAGTTACAAAGCGAGATTTGTAACGTGTGACTTGGCCAAGTGAGTTGAGTTTGGTGGTGTGGGTCCACTGCAAGCCAAGAATAGGTTGGTCAACCGGTGCAGAAACTAAGTGTCAGGTACCTTGGTACTGAAGGGCATTGAACTCTTCGATCATGTCATTCCTCCAATTAAGATATTTGGAAGCTTGGGTGAAGCATGTGGGGTTAGGCGGTTGTTGAACTTGATGGAATAGGTTTAATTTTTGGATATGTTTTAGGTGGCCTATTTTGTGATCTTCTGTCATAGGATGTGTAGGAGTAAGCGTGGGGTTGCGTTGTTGCGGTTGAGAGGGTGTTGGGGAGTGAGATGATGTGGTTTTTTGTAGGCCAGTGGTGAAGTTGGGTGAGGTAGGCCCATGTGATATGATGTTGGGTGAGGTAGGCCCATGTGATGTAGGTTGTAGATATGATGTTGGTTGGAGAAATAATGGAGGAGTGGTGGTAGAATTAGTGGGCTGGTTTGATTGCATTAATGGGGTTAATTTGTGAAAAGTAAATGTGGTTTCGTTAAATACCATGTGTCTCGAGATTATGAATTTATTGGTGGTGGGGTTGTAATATTTTATGTTATTGTGTTGTAGGGAGCAACCTAAAAATATGCATTGAATTGATCGGGATTCAAGTTTGTGTGTTGTCTGAGTTCATCTCGATGGATAGCATGCGCAACAAGAAATACAAAGGTGTGTGTATTGTGTGGTGATTTATGGAGGTGTTCGTAAGGAGAGATGTAGTGGGTGGTTTTAGCCGGAATTCAATTTACGACGTGAACCACAGTTAGAAAGCCGTCTGTCCATAAATTATACGGTGCATGGGCTTGATGTAGTAAGGCTCGAGTGGTCTCCATGAGGTGTCAGTGCTTGCATTTAACCACTCTATCTTGTTCGGGGGTATAGGGGCAGGAGTATTGATGGAGGATGAAATAATTGGTGAGGAATTGATTTAGTCCGTGATTTTTCTATTCATGTTCGTCGTCGGAGCATAGAATATTGTTCAATTGGTTTTGAAGTAGTTAAATAAAATATTGGGTTAATTGAGTACTTCAATATTTAGTATGCATAAGAAATACCCAACACAACTTAAATGTAATATACATATAGCCATGATAAGATCATTGTGAATGAGCTCAAGTAATTTGCATTTTTGACTTGTAGATGATACAAATGGCTGTTTGTGACTTTTAGTAAGGTTAGTGCTACAAAAATTATAAGTGAAAAATATATATAGGGAATGTCTTTTGGAAATAGCGGAGACAATGTTGAATGAGGATGGCCCAACCTTCTATGCCAAAGATCCAAGTGTTGTGTCTTGGAGAGGGAGGTAGTACATGCTTGTGGTAGATGTGTTAAGTGTGGAATGGAGTAGAGGCCATTAGAGCTGGGTTTCTGGGGAATCAGCTGGTGAGTTTGTGAATCAAAAATGGAAAATCCGAAGAAGTGAAATTAGACAATAAGATTGTTATATTTAGTGAGTTTATGAATAGAGATTAGATTGTGGAAAAGTGATGATGAATTTGTGGTAGTTTAAGTTTACGATGGGGGTTAGGGAGGAGCCATCTCTCTTGTGTTGAATCAGGATAGCTTTCCCATTATCGATGATGACCAAGTTAGTACTGGAGTACGGAATAGCTGTTTGGAGTTGATTGATGTTAGACGTGAAATGTGTCATAGCCCCGAAGCCTAATATCCATTCCTTTGAAGTAGCGACTAAAGCTTGTGGGGGAACGATAGGGGTGTATTCTTGATTGGCCCCGTGCCAACAAGTAGATGTTGAGTGTACGATTTTATTACATATTTGGCAGATGATAGGTGGGCGGTTGTGCTGTCTACCTCCGCAAATTCGTTAAAAAACTTCAACGTTGATTCCTACCTATTTCCCTGTAGACAATTTTTGTCTGTCCGCGAGAGGTTGTGAGAGCCATTTGAGATTTAATGGATGCAACATTATCCACATTCTTAGTTTGTATATTAATCTCCTCACCACATAACAAGGAGTAGAGATCTTTGAGCACAAAGTTTGTATATTAATCTCCTCACTACATAACAAGAAGTAGAGATCTTCGAGTGCGGTAGGTTACAACATAGTTTGAATAGAAGTTTTGAATGCATTATAGGGTGTTGGAACTCCATTAAGTATATATAGAATGACACCCTCTTGATCAAGTTTCTTGATCAAGTGTGGATCCAACTGCTTGTATTTGATCAACTAGGCTGTGAATCGCTGATAGGTATTGTTGAATGACATTCTCCTTCATCGAGATGTGGTGCAATTCATTCTTCAACATTATTAACCGAGATCTATTGGTGGGTTATAGTCTCCATTCTAGAGTGCTCCAGATGGAAAAATTATTGTGTACGGACACCGCATGTGTCCGATCCTGACCGTAGATCATGATTATTTCCGGTTTTTTTTTTAAATTTTTTAAGTGAGATCCGCCGAAATACATCGGAACCGTTGATCAGTTGATTTACGGTCCGGATCGGACACCAGACACCGCACGCTAGCTGCTTGAGGTGTCCTATCCGTATGGAATAATTTTTTCTCCAGATGAGTGTAGATGGAGGGTATGGGGAAGTAGCTTTTGGTGGGTTAGTCTCCCTTCTGGAGTGCTCCAGATGAGTGTAGATGGGAGTGCTCCAGATGAGGAGTGTAGATGGAGGGTATGAGGAAGTAGCTGTTGGTGGGTTAGTCTCCCTTCTGGAGTTCTCCAGATGAGTTTAGATGGAGGGCATGGGGAAGTAGCTGTTGGTGGGTTATAGTCTCCCTTCTAGAGTGCTGACGTTGGAGAAATCATGGAGTGCAGAGAGATTGTCAGGTTTTAATTGAGGTTTCATATTTGAAATAGTCTGTTTTCTAAAAGTTGATGTTAGCACGCCTACTGTATTGTGGTGGACAGGCACAGCTCCCATATAGGAATCCAGCAAACACGTTTGTCGAGAAGGTTTTAAGAACCCGAGCTCTCCAGGTCTGATAATTATCGGCGGCGAGCTGATGTTGTGTGAGATGTTTGAGGTGGGAAATTAGGAGAAAGTTGGATTCAATGTGAAAATACCAACCAGGGATGATGGGATTAGATACCGAGAGAAGAAGAAGGAGATCACTTATCCAGGCGTGCTCTGATACCATGAAAGAGGCATAAAACCTAGAAAGGTTTTTCACCCGACGAGAGAGAAGCAGCAAACACAAACATGAGGCAAACAGTCAACGCTTTCCTTACCTTAGCTTTTACATAAAGGACATTATATATAGCAGTATGCAGAAAGTTTTGGAATCGCTAAAAGACAAAACCCGTTATGGTATATGCGTATAATCCCTTAAGGTTTACTGCTATGAAATGATCTTTGATGGCGGTGGCCGATTCTTGCTAATAAGCGGCTTCACAAAATGCTCAGAATGCCTGGCAGCGTTTAAATTTCATTTCATCTGAGTTATTCTTCTATGAGGTCAAGTTAGAAAACTTTAGGAAATTATGAATTCATATTAACCAATGATTCTGTATCTTTGTTTACCATGAAAGACACAATTTATCTGACACCGATTCTATCAACTAGAATCGGAAACATTCATTATATGATTGATTAACAGCTGACATGCACTGCACCCATCTTCAGCCATCAAATTATAATTTTGTTAAACTTGAAGCATTTAGCTTACTCAAACCTTCTTCAGTCATTAACCCTGTGCATTTATCCAGATCTGAGTTCATCATCACTCGAAGAAGTCCACGGTGCTGTAATACTTGCGTTGCTTATAACTTTTTCCTGTAATTGACAAAATGAACAACCTTAAATTTTTGGTAATTGAACATTATTAATCCTTGTTATTTTTAGAGATCTTGCCAAATACCTGTTGTACAAGTGGCTGCGTCCTTGGATGTGAACTGCTGTTGCTGTGTGGCCTTGGTGGAGTGCTGAAATTGCTGCCACTCCTGCAACTTTTGGCATTATATCGTCTACTGACTTCATATTCTCGTCCAAATTTTCTTAGTCTGTTAAGCTCTGGCAAGACTACTGTTCCAAGATCAGGCCGGTCCTTTCTTCTCAATTCAGCACATTTCAAGGCAATTTTAGCATAGCAAAGTGTTTCTTTTACTGGCCAATCAGTTATTGCTGGATCAAGCAACTTTGCAAAGATTCCTTTCTCAATCGCCCTCTCAACATGGTGGGTGAGACCCATTGGAGGCTTAGCCGTGATAATCTGAAGCAGCATTATACCTAGAGAGTAAATATCAGACTTGACTCCGAGCATCCCTGTTTGTTGATACTCAGGGTCAATATAGCAGAAGGTTCCTGCAGTTGATGTCATGTGGTATTGCGTTACATTGTCTGCTTCACATGGTGGAACAAGCCTTGCAAGACCGACATCGCTGATTTTGCTGGCATAGTTTCGATCTAGGAGGATATTTGCAGGCTTTAGATCACGGTGGACCAGTGGCTCTGGTTTTGCTTGATGGAGGAACAAGAGTGCAGTAGCTATTTCAGCAGCGATTTTGAATCTTGTGCTCCATGGAATAGGGGGTGAGTTTCCTTTTCGGAAGAGTCTGTCATCTAAGCTACCGTTATCCATGAACTCGTACACCAAGCATCCGTTCTCAGGGCAGGCTCCAAGTAGTAAGACCATGTTAGGATGACGGATGCAGCTCAAGACTTCAACCTGAATGGTCATCATTACAAGGTTAATCCAGGGCATGAGGGATATGGAAGTAGCATTGGCGTTACGGTTTTGTTTTGATGTGACTACAGTTTGAGAATCTAAATAGTGAGATTTACATGCATACCACTCAATTCTTTTGTATTTACACATCTAACTCCTAAGCCTCAATTTTTACTTGCATACCATATTACATATCCTTGAAAAGAAGTATTATGGTTTTTGAAAGTTAAATTGCGATGTTTTTGATGTGATATGAAAGATTTGGATAGTATTATATGTAAAGAAGAAAATGTAGGTATGAGATATGTAAATGATCCATTAAAATTATAGTTTGGGAACTTGAGTTTTAAAGGTGATTATGATTAGGTTTTCTGCTTTGATCATTTGGAAGGAGTTCAAAAATATGAGAGCAGCTTCATTTTTTCTTGTCCGAAAAGCTTATTTGGACCATTAAGAGCACAAGAGGATGTAAGCCTCGTTCTTTTTTATTTGATCTGCCCATATAAGCTGTGAGCACTAGAAATAAGAAATAAGCATACTTGTTGAAGGTATGAATTTGACAAAAAGATTGATAATTGGTTGAAAAATCAAATCAATTTATGGTTTTGATTGAAATAAACCAGCGGATTAACGAGTCAGACACAACTTGAATTAAACATGAATTTAGTCAATGATGGAAGAAATCAAGTCTGTCTGAGACTGAAACAAAATGCATATGCATGCATCTATGAATGTATGAATGTATGACTGTGTGTAAGATATATTTATGCATACATGTATATTTATATCAATACATATCTACATCAAAGTATATGTACTTATATATGAGTGATTGTTTAGAGTTTGGAATAGGTATTTGTTTTAATTGATTGAATGTTGATTAGTTTTTATTTGGTTTGAGCTTTAATCTAAGAAGGAGGTGTGGCATCCTTTATATATTTCGTTTTTTATTTTATTTATTTTATTTTGTTTATGCTTTGGTTTAAATTATAACATATTTGATAAAGTTATTTGTTTTAAAAATACTCGAACATTCTTTTAGGTGCTTTGAGTATTTTTAAAAATAAATTAATTTATCTTTTAAAATAAAAACTAAAAAAATTTAAAAATTATACCTATTAAATATATTTTCAAAAAAAGAAAAAAGAGAGGAAATGATGGCAAACGGACCCTAAATAAATAAGCCATTCCTATTTTGAATTAACATCAAATTGATTCAACCAATAACCAGCCCTAACTCTATTAGAGATTAAATTGAATGACTTTAAACCGATCTTGTTTGGGGTTCTATTGGCTTAAGCTTGAACCCCTTGCACCCTAATTCTTGTAACTTAGTAGTAGCCCTAGCTATAATCAGTGGATAAATATTTTTCATAAGGTTTTATCATGTTATTAATATTTAAGAATGTCAAGGCCGTTGCTATTACAAGTTGATTCAGAAACTCAAATGCTTAAAATACATTATACAACAATGTGACTTTTATTTCTAATGAATGGTTTGTTTGTGTTTCTTCATAAATTGCAGTAAAGATTTTCATGCTAGTGCAAGGGGATATATCATCCCAGCTATAACAAGGACTTAACTGACTTGTAAAGAATATGAGTTCATGTGATACTGTTAATATATTTGAATTTTTTGTTTTGGTTATTCACTGTTCCTATCATCATTAGAATGTTTTCTTTTTTTCTGAAAAAATAATGAATTACCTCTTGTTGGAATTGTTTTCTTCCCTGTGCAGCATCTGTTCTTAAGACCTTAATGGCAACTGGGGTATGATCCAAATAGGCCTTGTACACAGGTCCATAGCCACCTTCACCAATCTTATTTTCTGCACTGAAGTCATTAGTTGCAGCCTTAATCTCTTCAATGGTGTATCTCCTGTAGCGGGTGTCTGTATGAGCCAGTGCATCCAATACTTTCTTCTTCTCTTCTGCCTCACGCCTTGCTTTCCTCTCTGCATGTTGTCTCTTAAGTGCTTCAAGCTCAGCAATTCTTTGTGCAGCTTCAGCTGCTTCAACAGCAGATCTACGCTTTATTTTTTCCATTTCAGCCATAGCAAGAGCTGCTTCTTCTGCATTTCTTAATTCCTCGAACTTTTGTGCTTCCTCAATTTTCCATTGTTGAAGCTCCATAGTCTGCATCCAAATAATTAGAACATTGTAAGTACTTAATTTCGTGATTTCAAATATCTTATTTTAATTGAACAGCAGGGAGTGCTTTCTCACCTTCTGTTTAGCTATTACAGCTTCTTTGCAAGCATTGCTATACATCTCTATTGTTTGCTTTAGCTCAAGTTTCAGCTTTCTCATTTCAGACTCAAGTTCTCGGTTTGCCTATGATTCTAGATAATTGATTAGATGATGACTAAAACTGAAAATTTTGTATGACAGATGAGGTAGTCATTTTAATGCATTTCAATCCTAGAAATGTACTTACACCAGTAAAAGAGGAGCTGCTCCCAGTCCAATGACTATCCATGGAGGCTGATGAGAACTCAAGAGAATCTCCAATGTTCATGGATTGGAAACTGACTCCCTGTAAATCAATGTCGTCTGAAAATGAGCTTCCATAATCAACTGAACTTTGGGCCTGGTTGGCAGGATCAAGGTTGTCCATGAATAGATTGTTGGGCACCGAACGAGCTGTGGAAAGTGGTCTGTCTCTTGCGGATGTATTCAGATAATCAGGCAGCAAATCTGTTGATCTTCTTTCTGTTCTCTCATGTATGGGGGTTGGTGGAGCTGAAACTCCCCAGTTCCTCCTTGAATACGGTGCCCTGCTGAATGATTCAAAAAACGGGAAGTGAGATCTTGATTTTAAACCAGCATGGGAATCAAACTCCCACAAGTCTTGACCTCAAGCTTTTATCGTAAAAATTAAGAACATTAGTTCCCAAATGTTATCTAATCCGCTTATGAAACCATGGATTATCAACTTTCTGTTATCAATTTTTAGAGAAAAGTATCAAAATGATCTCCTCACTGTTTAATTCTAGAGTTTATAAAAGTGTTAATTTAATCCCAAAACTTCTTAAATATTGATTGAAATAATCCCAATGAGGACTATTTTAGCCTACATTGAAAAGATCTGAGGACTAATTTAACACTTTTAAAAATCTGAGACTAAAATGACCCATATAAATTGTCCGATGGCTTCTTTGACACTCAACTCTAAATTCCTATATCAACAAAACATCCATAGGCACATGCCTGACTGTATTGTCTTGGTCAGGTTGGTACAGCGAACTCGCCATGAAGCTCAAATTCCTTGGTGGAATGGTACTTGGATATGAGTTTCTTGCTGGTCGGATGGTAGTTGGTTTCCCCTTGGAAATGACATACACGGCACAGAAGTCTGGTACCGATTTTATGAGGTTATATGGAACATCAACACCTCTGAGTTTTCTGCATGTTAGAAGAGAGCTAATTAATGTTAGTAACCTTTGGAAGGCTCATGAAGGGGGGTTAAAGATAACATGATGTGTGGTGTGTTGGATAGACTTCATGATACTGCTGTTTGAGGCCCCGACAACAAGGTTTTGGATGGACTTGGCATTGATGTAATCGACTATGGTATTTGAAATATCAGCACCTTCTAGGACTTCCTCCTTCAGCTGCGTCTGCAGAGTACACAAACAATCATGTAAGCATAAGCTAACTTTGGTTTGTTTGTTTTTTCAATATATTGTATCATAGACCTTCACTTTAAATATGAAAAAATTACACTCAATCAAAGATTCAAATCTATGGTGTTTTTAAGTATAATGTGGCTTTAACATTTGAAAAAAAATTAGAAATTTTGCTTCTTGTACGGGTTTGTGATGTAATATCAAATTACCAAGGTATGCAAAATCTTATGGTACAACACACCATTTTGCATCTTTTCATTGGAATTCGAAAATGGATAAAGTTAAGAATAATCATCATCATCATTTACCTTATCTAGATTATTTAGGGAAGGTTTATTAATTGTTATTTTTATTTATTCTTTTTGAGTGCTGCCTAAGGTGTTAAACTAATTCTTTGAAAATTATTTTGACCAACTTTCTTATGCAAAACATTTAGGTCTACTTCATTATTGTACTATCTAAATCATGGAAGTCTATTTTTAAGTATATTATCTGTAGTAGGTGTGGCTTGTTTTGCTAATATATGCATTCCTTAATATATTCTTTTTTATTTTTTCACACATCTATCATGACATTTTTATATTTGTCATGCTCAATTTTGATATCATGATTTTTTTGTTGCCCAACATTTGGATGTTATAACTCAATTGACTGATTGATAATATTTATTGTACATCTTAAATTTATATATCATATACCCAATATTTGAATATATAGCATATGTTATAAGAAAGCTTGGAATATATTAAAAAAAAAGATATCGGAAGCTTCATAGCATGCACCAAGAAAAATTTAAATAACATTAAGAGAATGAGCAAAATAATAGACATGTGTACGTATACATGTGAAAGAAGGTAAAAGTAAAGAATCTCCAATCAAGATTGAGAAAGAAGAAATAAAAGTTGAAAAGTTTGCTGGCACTAGTAGAAACAAATCCTATAGTTGGTGCTTATTTTCTTAAATTTACGTGTATTGCCTCATTTTTTTCATACTTATAAAGACTTAGAGATGTCCGTTCATACCCCTTATATTATTGATTCAAGTATTATAGATCATATGATCAACTCTTTATATCTAGCAACATGGAAACACTCATTTCTGGTCCTTGATAATTGTTATTGTCCAAGAGAATATTTCATATAAACAAATCTCTCACGCTTCAAAGCAGCTTTCACATTCCTAAATTATTCATCAATTTTTATCTATTTAAGAAATTAGTATAGATTCTAAATAAAATGTTATATTTTACCCTCATTGTGTAATTTATCATCAGGACACAAGAAGGCTGAATGGACTTACTAAAAAAGAGATTGCTTTTTCATCAACAAATAATTTTTTGTATTACCTTTCCTCTCTTAAACTTCTAAAAACAATAAAGATAGAATATGGTTCTAGTGCCTATGCCTTGGTTATCTTTTTTATCATTCTCAAAATTACATTCTTTTAATTATTCAGAAATATTTATTTTAAAATTTTGTTGTGTAACATTTGAGTTAGCAAAACACAAGTATGTCCATTTTTCCACAAGTAATACAATAACTGAAAGTTATTTAAGTTATTTTTCACTTACTCATGATGACATCTAGAGGTCACATTCGAATGTAATATACATACAGCTCAATGGTTTGTGTCTTTTATTGATGAATGTGAATTGATGTATCATGAATTATTCTATTAAAATTCAAAAGTGATGTATCATATTTCTCGCCTTCTTTAATTTGATTAAAAATCAAATTTAATGGTGATATTACAATATTAAAATATGATAAGGCCAAAGTCTTTTTAACATTCGCTCTCTTTGTTTTTTAAGAAAAAATAATGTATGAATCCTCGTGTAAGCATACATCAATAAAATATGGCCACTAAATAAAGACTGTTCATCTACTTGCTAAGACAAGAGCTCTCTTTTTTCACTTGAATTTTCAAAATAACACTAGGGGAATATGTATTAATAGTCTTTATATCATAAATTGATTGCCCACAAAGATTCTTTGGTTTGAAAGTTTTACTTTTTCTAAGCAAATTTTTTTCTTACTTCAACACAGATAATCTTGTTTTTAAGTTATTTAAAAATGTTTTTTTTTTGTCCATAAACATCATCAAAAGGAAGAAAAGACCTAATCCAAAGAAATCAAATTTATTTATATTGACTACTCTTCCACTTAAAAATGGTATAGACGCTATATGCATTTTTTGATATAACTTGTAACAAAAAATATTTATGATATCTCTCTAATTATCCCAAGGAAGACATATCATTCAAAAATGAATTTTTCCTTCAAGGTTTTCCTTGTCTTATTCCACACCCTAGTTAGCAAGTTTACTTTAAAATTAGTCGTACCTTAAATAATTGAGTTTTAATACCCAATTTTCAACAAGGTACAAGTATAAAATACCCAAATAAATTATATCTAAAATATCAACTTTCTAAAAAATTATAAAAAAAAAATATTTCATTGCATTCCTCTCTTCAAAATAATGATTTTGATAGATAAAGTTATATGCTAATTCTTAAAGATGAAGGAGTTATTAATTCTGTAATTGTTTATAAAAGAAAGTGGTTTCGGAGAGCTTATTTTAAAGGGTTAAATCGTGAGTTGGGTAAGATTTATAAATTCAAATACTAAAAATGAACCCTGACAATAATGTGCACATGTATTTATATGTATAGAAGAATAATATGTGAGATGCATTATAAAAATTTCATGTTATAAAATACATATTTACAATCTCATATTTAGAGTAAAGAACAATATAAAATTGAGTTGATATAAGCTTGGAAATAAGTCCATTTTGATTATATAAATATTTTATTTGTTGATGATACGATTAAAAAATAATTGATATTTCTATGTTACTCTTTTGAGTATACAATTATTTAGCATATTTGAATAGGAATCACCTGTTTATTGAAAAAATTAGTTATAATAATATTTGAAGCTTAAGAAATGTCTTGTTACAGAAAGAAATTGACAATGATATATTTATGAAACCCATGCAAGTGGGGGCAAAAAGATCCTAATAGGATAAAAGAGTTCCCTATAAAGGCAAAAGGGTTCTCAATATCTTTCAATAGTGATAATGTTGTGTTTGGTCCGGTCTCTATTAAACTTAATAATATAGCCTTTGAGAGGATTTATAATGACCAATAATCTAATTAACCATTCATGAAGAATTTTGAAACTAAAATAAAATACAAGATAATAGAAAATAATCAAGTAATAAAATAATTTGATGCATTTATTTACATTTACAAGTATAATGCTATCACTTGCTGCAAATATTTCTTATAAACTTTATTTTTTGACTGTTATAGCATTGTGTAGATCACATATACTTGAATTATATCCAATCATTATTAGCATACATGTTATTTATTAGTTTTTTAGCATTTGAGCCATCATTTAAATTTGTTTATCTTTCTATGTTTCATAACACTTTAGATTGTCATAGCTACTTTTATTGAAAAAAGAAAATAAAAGGTCGAACTTCAATAGTATCATTTCAATTTTGGGATTATATTTTTATGTATAACTACTATAAAATAAAGAAATTTTGAGATATGTTAACATATGGAATTTATATTTTTGTTAAGTAGTTTGGGGTATTTTATATGCTTTGTGGATAGATTAAAATAAAATATTTTAGATTATTTCCGCTTCATCAAAGATTTGAATATACTAGTTTTGTGTAAAATAATATAATATGACATGTTATTTTTTATGAACATAGGTGATTGAATGTATTTCTCGCTCTTTCTTGGTGGTTAGGATAACATAATTGGTGTTTTAGGTGTATTCAATCAACTAAATCACACATAGCCCTCTATTATATCCTACATTAACCGGTGAAGAGGGTCATCATAAGGTGCAACCAAACATATTTGAATTTTCTTCCACTTGGCCATTACAAATTTGCAAATAGAGATGCACCTCAATCGACAAAAGTACAATCTACTCAAGTAATCATTGACATTAAACTCACTAAGGGAACTATTAAGCTTACAAAATAAGATACTTAACATCTCTTATACTAGTTTTATCATAGCTAGTCCTTCCATATTAGCCTTCATATTATTTTTCTCCAGTATCATTTTTAAGGCTTTAAATAATATGAGTTTAAATATTGCTATGAGAGAAGAAATGAAAACTCTTCAAAAGAATAAAATATAAAAATTTGTGACATATGCCAAAATGTAAGAAATCAATTGAATTTATGTGGTTCATTAAATTAAGTACAAAATATGTTGCCTCATAAGAAATGTATACAACCAAATTAATGGAAAAGGATTACACTTAAAATATGTGCAATTAATTATCTTGGAATGTTTAAATGAATCTTTATTTGAGTTTTTATTATTAGTAGCTAACAAGAAATGAAAAGTACAATATGTTCATATGAGAAAAGATTTCATATAAGGTGATCTAGAAGAGAAGGTATATATGAAGATCCTACTAGAGTTTTACTCAAACACATAATCAAACTATGTAAACAAAAAAAGAGGATTATATAGATTAAAGATTAAACAAACTATATAAGCAATTTCATGATTTAGAGAATGAAATGTTGTGTCAAGGTGTAATGCAAAGTAAAATTTCAATATATGGTGCTAAGAATTTGTGATTTACGATGGCTAAAAAATTATTCTCGAAGCTTTAAAGGTTGAATGAAAACACCCAATATGATTATCATGATAACAAATCAACCATCAATATTACATAAAATTGTATGTAACATAATTGAACAAAACCCATTAAATTGAATCGACATTTTATGAAATATAAGCTCAACATGGTCTAATTTATATTTTATTTGTCGAATAGGTGGGCAATTTGGATATATTATTTCCAAATAATTATCTATAAAATTATTTAAAAAATTAGTATGCCAATTTGGAATAAAAAACAACCATTTATTCATTTGAGGGGAAGTTTGAAAAACTCAATCTATTTAGATTTTGTTTGATCAATGTTTTACAGAGCCCATCAGTTCTCCATTTTCTTTGTCACTATATGTCAAATTACTGATTTATATGACTATTGTTGCTATCTCATCAATTCATGGATTATTGTAATTATTTCATAATTGTTATTCTGCCACTAGAGCATTCATGGACTATTGCAACTATTTTGTAAGTATTATTCCTTGAAAGTTTCTTATATTTAAAACTCTCCTAAGGCTGGATAAATACTAAACAAATTTTGAAATGAAACAATCAATTAATTCTCTCCACTTATCGTAATACATAATGCCTTCATTGTTCTTACCATTAATATTAAAGTTTTTACTCCAATTTGTTGACATCATTTTAGCTTTCAAAATTTTATTAAAAAGATTTGTCAACTAAATCACTGTAATAGGGCTTAAATCCTTTTATTTGTTATTTTTTTAGAGAAAACATAATTTTTGAATCAATATATAATATACTTCATTATTTTTTAATTATGTTATTTAAAATAAAATTTTTCCTTAAAACTCTCCTTTAGTAATTTATCAAAATAATATTTTCATTTCCTGCAAGATCTTATTATCTTCACTTCATATGCATATAACATAATCAAAGTAGTTAGATCTTTTATCCCATCTTAACTGTGTTATATTCTTCTCTTCTTAGTACTATGAAATATCTAAAGACTTATATTTTCTTATAATTATTAATAGCTTCAATAGTATTCCATTTTTATCATATGTTAAAAACACTTTCTTTTCTTACTCAACACATCTTCACTCATCACCAATTCACTATATGAGTTATTTTTAGACTTGCTAATAAAAAATATTTTATCATCTTAGATTTAACTTAAGTTTAAGTTGACTTCCTTTACAATGCATCTTGAATGATTTCACCCCCTTTTCTAATCTTGTAAAACAAAAAAATAAATGCATCTTAAAAAATTATTAACTTTTATATCCTAAATTTCACCCACTTCCACTTAACATAGGATTAAATGTCAAGAATGCCCTTCTCAACCTTTCTTACTTCAAGCGAGACAAGACACGGCGATCAATCTTAAAATTGGCCTGAGGGATTCCTCTTAGAGGTGTGAATGTTTAGAGGAAATATTACGTGTGTAGTAGACTGCACATCCGGGTGACGGTTTGGATGCAGCCACGCCGCCATATATGGCATGGAGGTTCATCCGGACCATCATCTAGGCGCCACACGTAATATTTGCTCGAAATATGAAACATGCTAATGGTTTATCGAAATTCTACATATATTGTAAAGCAAAGGATGAATTATTTTTGTTAAGATAAATTAATATTTATTATTTCCATATCAAAAAGCCTTGTTAATTTGCTAACTTTAAGACATCTTAGCAAATATTAAAAATATAATTATATATAATAATGATAATAATAATGCTTGTTTCTTTTTCTAAAGGAATTGAGTGATTACCCCTTTGCGAGCACTAAACCCCCTATAAGGGAGGAATAGGTTATTCACTTCTTCATCTGCTTCTTCCCTTGTGGTTTCCTGGCCTGCTTCCGTCTCTATAAAACCATCCATTTGGGATCAGAAAATAGCATCATCTGCACTACTGGGAACAGCCATTGCAGATTTTCATAGAAAAACAAATTACAACATACCAAAGAAAAGAGCTAATTATTGATCTTAGCATTTGGTATCATTGTGTCAATGTTGCAGTAAAAATACTATTGCATGCATAAAAGTTCATGCTGTTATTAACCTTGTCTGTATTCTTATGAAATCATAGAAAAAGTACAAAAAAGTGCGGGTTTTCAGAAGCATAGTTTTAATATATAAATCAATATTATTTTAAATGATATCAACTGAATGGTTAGTTATATGTTTAGAGGATTTGTTTTCCTGCTCACATGTGCTAAAACTTCCGGTGAGTTTCTTATTTCATAATCACAAATCAATTAAAATACTGATGATTTTGTAACAGACTTTTCCTTTTTCATACACATACATGGGGAAATTTGCAGCAGCTATACTGGGGCAGGACCAGCTTTTTTTTTTTTGAGGGGCGCACATAGGAGGGGCTAGGGCAATGAAGGGTAAAGTAATATTTAAGGAGGGACAAAGATCAAATTGCTCTTCCATATAAAAAATAATCTAAATTTGAGGGAAGTCAATTGCCCATGCAGCTATAGTTGTTTGTAAAAGTGATTATAACATTATAGCACCACAATAAACTCTTTCAAAGCTTTTGCAATTATTATGGAATTACTTGCATTTACAAACTTACCACCCAGTTCTTATACATTTAAATATATAAAATCCATACTTCACTTTTTAGATTTATATGGCCCACATTTTTCATATCACATAAGAAAAATAACCATTTTAACTTGAACAAATTTCAATACACCTTTTTATAATACATGGATAAATTTGTATATATATATATATATATATATATATATATGGT